CGTTACCCCCATTATATTTCAAACAAGGAATCCAGTCTAGGCACAGACACAGAAACAAGTTCAGGAGTTCAGCGTGTCATCTACACCTTGGCTTCCTCCTCTTCTCTTTTTAACCCCTGAGTGAGTTTTCACCAAGTCTGAAGGGCAGGTGGGGCACAAAGGGTACCTCTACTGAGCCAGGAGTTGCTGGTGGTTCCCCCTCGAGTTTGCACTCATCTGAATACTCCTATGGAAATAAAAGTGTTTCAAGCGTTATCAATTTCTATCTCTCACAGAACAGCATTAAATCCTGCTTAAGTATTTTTTCTAACTAATGCTGTCCTAAAAGATACAACTAAAGAAACCAGTAACAGAGGAGTGAAGCGCATCCTCTGGAAGGCGAAACATTTCTCTTGAGGCGAAAGCAAGGGCCTGAGCCTGTTAAACCGCTGTGAGACTCTGATGCTGGAGAGAACTCAGCAGATGACTCACATCTTTACTTTTTTTTTTTTTTTTTTCCCCTCCTCTCTTTTTTAAGGAGGCCAGAGATACCTGTTCTTAAGCAAGAGAAGAGCAACTTCCTGGACAATACGTCGCATACCCAGTTTACCGCCTATAAAAAGCCGCCTTTCGCACAAGCTCCCGGCGCTTGTCGGGGACGCAGCCCTCGCTGCCGAGCACCACGGGGTTCTGACTCACCCGCTTCACGGCAGGACTAAAATTACACTCCTCTTTGCAGTGCTCCAAATTTTGAAAGTGAGATGGATTGCGGTGCTCAAGTCGTCCACCTTGGCCTGAAGTCCTGAAAAGCGTTTGCGCTTAGACATAGTTCTGAAAAAACAGACTTGAGCAGCGTCAGTGCCGGAGTTGTGCTTAGGACGTCAGAAGAGGAACAGAGTTAGTAAGTGGAGATGTCGCTAACTCACCAACAGCCCTTGAAAGCTGACGCTTCCCCCCAAGGCGAGGGGAAAGTTTTGGTGTTTTTTTTTCCTCCCAGAAAGCACCAAAGCTGAGGTGATTTCAGATTCTGCATACTGAGCCCTTCAGGCTGGACAGGTATTAGAAACAAGTCCAAGATAAAAAGCACAACCATGCGTTAGTGGGAAGTCTGAGTCACGGTGCCCACACCAAGGCTGCTTCCACGCTCCCCAGCAAGTTCTCCAGTCCCAGCGGTCGCTTCTCCCATTCCCAGCGACAAGGGAAATAATGCTCAGGTCCATCAGCAAAGCGACCGGCTATCACAGATCTTGTGGCCAGCTGTTTTGACGATGCAATTAATTTTTTTAAACCGAGAGATGTTTCCTTTGGGAGGACTATCATATTAGCAGGGTTAATTTCCAATTAGGGATGGCAGGCACATTTTTTCCGAACCCTGTCCATGAGGACCACGGCCCTGTGACCAGGGAAAAAAGCCCTGCTGAAGAGTGAGTCACGGTGCAATTCGGGAAGGGTGCTCTCGGGCGTCACGCTAACCGCTGCTGTAACAAAGGTCCGATTTAAAACGATAAGTGCTGACATTTTGAAAAATGACTAACTACTACAACGAAAGAAACATGAGTTTACTCTTTTGGAGCCTGGTCTCCCAACTCCAAGTAGTTTAATTAAAGTCAGAGTAAGTTCATTTACACAGCCACACCCTTAACTGACATTCAGGTAGATAGAGCCTAGCCTAAATACCCTGGAAGAAAAAGGCTTTGCGGAGGATTGCAGCTGCAGTGGGCCCACCGCCCCTGCACCCAGGTACTCCCACCTGGCTGAATAAAGTTTCCTGGCGATTCCCAAAAGCTCTGCAACAAGGAGACAGCTCCGAGCGGCTGACGCCTGGCCTCACACCTGCACCTGTGGGTGCTGGGAGCCACCTCGAAAACCTCCACTGTCCCCTCTCTCAGCAAAGCCCCAGCCTGAGCAGCCCGACAGCCCAGCTTCAGGCTGGGATCTGCGGGTGGTTCCAGTAACATCGCTGCCTTTCCTCGGGCCCGCGGGACGGCAGCTGCTGCAGTAACCGTAGCCCGCTGCATGTACCCCAGCCCGCTGCTCGGGTCCCGGCCCCCCCACGCATTCCCCGCTGCACCTGCCCAAGTCCTTTTATCAGCTCGCTCGTGTCCTATTCAGGCACCAAAGACGTCCCAGCTTCACATCTGTCGTTCCACAAGCACCCCTATTCACTCATCGACCCTTTTGTCCATCGCTGCATTTTCTACGCTGCCCTAACATCTTCCCTTTCCGACCAAGTCATTTCTTCCATGAAACACAGCACCGTCCCGCTGAGCGACAGTCCCTCCGAGCCCTCTCACGGAGCTGGTCACCTTCCCACGTTACGTGGGGCTGGCACCGAGGCAGTATAAATTTGACACTAAAGTTTGCTAAAGATTGTTAACTGCAAGCGGGAGTATTAAAGAAGTATCATCCTTTCCACTTATAAAAATAGTCGCTAATCTAAGTCTCAAAGGAATTACAGACAGGCTTTCAAAACTGTGAGATACAGAACAGAGACCTCTTTATGCTGGCAGAATGCTCTACTCCAGCACCGTATTGCCCCTTTCTGTTTCTCTCATAATTAAATATAAGTAACATACCAGGAGAGCTCCGCTGTATAATTGCTTTATTTTCTGCTTATTAGTTCTTTACCAACACTACAGCCATATTGAGAACACAAAATTCCTGTTTACTTTAGTCAGGGAGATCACAGTCTACAAACTCATTCACTTATCAGACACGATTAACGCCATTCAAAACTTACTCCATAAATTCACATGAACACAAATTGATGCACTTAAACTCCAGATTAGTTTTTAAATCATAGGATTTCTTACAGATTGCCACTTTATCCTACAGGCTGTGTTTACTGCCCGATAGCCACTAGTTCGTGGTGAGGTTCAGCTACAACCTATAAAGGACATGTTGAAAGTGAAACCTTTATATTTTGTTCAGTAGCAATGGCCATTTATTTTTGACATCTCTGCCACACGTTTCAGTAACTTTTTCTCCCCCCCCCCCCAAAGACATTAAAAAAATTCAGAAGCATAACCAGTTTCCTTTCACCTACAAAAACAGAATAACAAAGTTACTAAGGAAATACAAAATTGTGAATTCAACTTAATGCAAAGTCTAGCAAAGAAGTCTGCCCCAGCACTTGAAGAGAAAACATAGTAAATCAACTTAGACAAAAAATGAAGTTATTGAAGTTTTCATGTTGACTGAGAATAGATTTAAGAAAGTTCAAGAACCATTAATAGAGCTTCAAGTTTTCCAGTTTAGGCATTTACTTTGTGCTTGGCTATTTTATTTATGCTCCAGAAGAAAACAGTAACCATATTCTTGTATTTTTAGTCTTAATACCACCACAGTATTTGTTAAGTTACATCAACAGGAAAAAAAAAAAAAAAAAGCTAGAAAATAGAGCAATGATATTCCAGTGGCAAAAAGCCTTGAGTGGAAAAAAAAAAGAATCTCACCTCCTCTTCTTTAGAGCTGAGATTTAAAAGGTTATTCTACATTAAGCTTTTGCAGACTCTAACTTACAAAGGCTTACAGTCAATCAATGCTCTATCTTCTAGCATCAAGAACCCATTCAGTCCCATTTGCAACCCACATCAAGATAAGTCTTTTGGAACCATATTCTAAAGGAACTTTTAAGTGGTCCAAAGCATCAATTTCAGAAGTGAATTCAGTATTTTTATCTTCCCATACATCTTTGGTAAGAGCTCCATATACAACGTACTTTGCATACAGAGTCAACACTGCAGAAATGTAGTGTAATGCCCCCAATTTCATGTAAAACTCATATCCTTGGAAAACAGAGAAAAAAAAAAAAAAGCCATTTTCTTCTGGTTTTGTAGCATACATTCCTGGAATTCCCCAATCGAGTTTAACTCCTTGAGGAAATCTGAAGTTAATCCTTAAGGCTGAATAAGAACCAGCTGCTTTAACATTTTTTGCACCCAGCATTAATACTTGATTGAGTTTTTATACTAATACTTGTTCTGGGTGGGTTGTTTGGTTTTTGTTTGGTTTTTTTTTTGCCAGTCACATCTGCAAACTGTGATATGGCAAATGAGCTGCTTGCCCTTTAAGAACTAATTATGGAAGTTTACATTCGTAGTCGTATACTCTCTCTCTCTCTCCTCCCCGCTCTCATTAGTAGTTACTCAATGGGCTTCAGACATCCAACATAGTTCCCTTCCTACAGGACTACAGCAACAACTGGCTACACCGAGACAGATGGTGAAGACTGCAACTACTTGCATGAGTTCAGTCGAGTCTTGGAAAACTGAACCAATAAGTGATTTCCACAAAATGGCTATTATTGAGACGTCAGAATTACCGAGCTCAATTAAAGCATAGCACGGACCTTGCCCCCTCGGAAGTCTACAAAACAGAAAAGAAAAAAACCAAAATGCCTTTCTCCACTACATGCATGTCAGAAAGAATGAGAAATCCTTTTAAGATTTAGATGTCTTCAACTGTCTTGAGATGAAAGCAGTTTGTCTTGATCACAAGACAGGCAAGTCAGTGCTAGATTTTTGCCTAAACATCTGTGACTTAAAGTAAAACTTGTTGCAACGCTTACACGTTATTGCTGCATTTTCTGGAAGGAACCTATCTTGCATTGAATCGGAGACTGACACGAGTAGTAAAAACTGCAGCTAAACATCATTTAAGTTTGCAATGCAAGACGAAAACTGAACAGTATCTACCCTGGAACTATTACATCATTCATGTCTTATTTGCTATATGGTTGCTATGTAGTATGGGGAACTTATTTGCATCCCTTCTCATGCATGATGTATGGTTCAGAACTTCACAGCTGACATTTCAAAGCAGTTCTTACATTACCTAGTTAACATTATGCCTGATATGCACTTTGAACATGTTACAATGGTATTCTCACTATCTGCCACTGTAGGCAAGAATTCGTTTCATTATTAGTCTGAGATATGAAGACAGACTGAGAGTCACTATTTAGTTACAGATTAACAGAACTTTAAAAAAAGTCCTTAATATAAAAAGACAGACTGCAGTTTGATTTTAAGCAATAATTTTCAGTTTACTAGATGAAGTAGACCTATCAACATATTCTGCATGAATGCAAAAAAGTAGCAATCTACAGCAAGTGATAGAAGAAAAAAAAATATATAATCAAAAAAGTAGAACCAGAAAGCATACACTGAAAACAGTACCCCTCCCCCAACCATCCCCCCAAATAATCAAACCATCTTAAGGGCTATCAAGAGGAAAAAAAAAAAAGTTACTTAGCAAGTCTACAATGTGTCTTTCCCCTGTTTGCTGGAAGTCTGCCATAGCATCTAGTGCTTGTGTTCATGTCACATTCGGAGATTAGAGCATCCTAACGCCAAGCAAGAAGAGTTAAAACAGGAATCCAGTCAAGTGTGCAGAAGGAAAGGGTGGTAACTGGAGAAAGGTGATCATAATCCTATGGATGCTTTTGTTTTACTTTTCAGTAGAGAATCATTCTTCCGGAAAGCCATGTGGGTTATTTTTTTTTTCCTTTAATTCTTTGTAGACTAAATAGTTGTTCTCTCATTAGGATTTATAATTGGATGTTAACCATGTCAGCCCTTCATAGAGTCCATCCCCTGTAGTAGCACAGGAGGGCTGCACGTACCAATTCCTATCCCTGATTCGGGTCAGGCCCAGTTTCTCCTGGATTTCATGGGGTTTCATGGCATCAGGCAGGTCCTGCTTGTTGGCGAAGATGAGGATGATGGCGTCCCGCATCTCCCTGTCGTTGATAATGCGGTGGAGCTCCTGGCGGGCCTCGTCGATGCGGTCGCGATCGGCGCAGTCCACCACAAAGATCAACCCTTGCGTGCCTGTGTAGTAGTGCCTCCAGAGGGGACGGATCTTGTCCTGGCCCCCGACATCCCACACGTTGAACTTGACGTTTTTGTAAGTAACCGTCTCCACGTTGAAGCCCACGGTGGGGATGGTGGTGACGGACTGGCCCAGCTTCAGTTTGTACAGGATGGTGGTTTTACCAGCCGCGTCCAGACCCAGCATCAGGATCCGCATCTCCTTGTTGCCGAAGATCTTGGACAGCACCTTGCCCATCTCGGCGGCATCCAAGGGGCCCGGCGCCTCCGGGGTGGGG